AGCAGTTAGAGGGAAGCAACACCCGAGTGATCCTTCCACAAAAGAGTTTCCAAAACCATTTACCTTCGCATTCTTTTATTTCAATTAGCAAACCTTTAAACCAAAACTTTGTTGCTAGATAATGATTTCAACAACCAAAGTAGGGGTAGACAGACCGGCCCGGGTCGATATCTAAATACTTGCCCTATACTTCACCCGACTAGAGTTTAAAAACTTGGGCTCTAATTGGGGTTTTATAGTGGTGTAGTTTCGTGCGAGTCAGGAAACCAAAATTATACTCAAGAGCTATTTCTGCAGTCAAACCCTCAATTCTCTAGAACTTCCAATCAAGCACCTTATCATCCTCAAACCCCACTAAGCTTAGAGTAACAACATGCTGCAAAGCCTGCCTATCTCTACTATTCTTTCTACCCAAAGTACTGAAAGAGACAGAATCTGAAATTACAGCACCCATTTCAGAATGGGCAACAAGTATTATCGAGCTAATTACATCAGCTGGCTTTGGAATAATGTTGTGAATTTTGCTCGCCCTTGTTTCATCAGGTTTATCAAACTTCCCATGAAGTCTTGCATTCCCAAAAATGATAATACCAGACCCTTCATGGGTTGGCACTTCACGAGCAGTGTCCTCACCTTCCAGTTTTGAAGGAAGAAAAGATTCTGCAATCACAGTCGTTGTCCGCAGTGGCGGAGCCAGGAAATTGGCCAAGGGGGTGTCTTTATCATATCATAAAAAATCACCTATACAATAGAAAAGTCAACTTTAAATTAAACAAAAAGTCAACTACGCAATACTCTAAATTCACACAATTACATTAAAATAGTTTAACGTACACCGGTTACAACGTCAAACAAATAAGTTCAGTACATACAAATCAAGACTTCCATTCATCAAATATTACAAATTAGAACTGAGAAGTACCTTGGAATTGATTTTGTGAAACAAACAACTGAACTTCAATTGGTACTTCTTCACTTTCAACTTTGTTTAAACAAAAGACAAGAAATTTCTCTGTTGTAGAGCTACAAAAAAAAAAAGAGCGAGTTTAAACAAAAGACAACAATTTATTACTATAAATAAAGACGAAAGTGCATTACATAACAAAACTCACTCGATCGAAATGATAAGAAATTCTTCCTGCAACTGAATGGTCATTGGTTCGAATTTGTATATACCCCTACTCGAAAAAAAATTCTCCAAACCCAAGGGGGGTGCAAAGCACCCCCTCCTCTCCAAGTGGCTCCGCCACTGGTTGTCCGTTCCTCCGAACCTACAAAATCACCAAGCTCGCCAAGCTGTAATTTGCAGGCCGCAATTGCATCTTCTTCCCATTGAGTTCGATTGTAGGTGAAACGACCCGTCCCTTTTAAACAAATCGAAATACACGTGGCTCCGGAGCCGACTTAAAACAACCTCAAAATTTCATTAAAACAAATACAACTTAATACTTTTCAAAAGAAATGCCCTAAACATTTGGGCAACCTCAATCCATAGTCAATAAAACCACCTAAATTATGAACTTTGAACCTTCAGTATATACTCATAATTATGAATGATAAAATAACTAACTTAATCTAACTCTAGCTCCTCATCGAGCTTCCCTCGATCTCGTTCACTCTGGTGCGACTTCTCGTCTCGCCTTGCCTCTTCTCGAAATCCACCTTTGCTAACCTTTCATCAACCTAGTGAGTGAGAAGGGGTCAGTCTCGTCGTTACTTCCTAAGGTCTTACCCTAAGCAACCTCCTTACTAAAAACACGTTGGTAGCGTTTCCTTTCCTTAGATGAAAGTTATTCTCGTTTTCATCCTTACTAACTCATTTCAACATTAACTCATATAAGTTCTCAACTTCTATCCTTAACTCAAACACAAAACACTAGGACCATCGCGTTACGTATCGTCGTTCGGTATCCTACCCTAGTATGCCAACCGCGTTACGTCTCGTCGTCTGGTTGCATACCCAAATTCGCCAATGGCACTGCGTTACATCTCGCTGTCCAGTCCATGCCCGGTCAACTACTGCGTTACGTCTAGCCGTCCAGTATTGACCCCAACATACTCAATCAACTGTTGCGTTACGTCTCGCCGTCCAGCAGTGATCCGACCATCTACCGTGTTCAGTAGTGGCCCAACCGCCCGGGGTTCAATTATGATCATCCATACATCACAAACACATACATACATAGCACAACCTGTGCCTCCACCTTAAGTAGGTGGTGGGATTCCTCACACACATAATCACACTTACTCATAAAATTAACTAAATAATAATCTAAAATGAAAAGCGTAAACTAAAAAGACCTCGACAGAGATTTTACCCCCTTTACACTCACCTTATACTGAAATGACGAATTTGATGTAAGGCAGGTATCTTGTCTCCGTCCCTTGATCTCTCTATAACCAACTACTTAGCACCCGAACCTCATTTCCACGTACTGCTACAGTTGAATGAAATCCATAATCACTACCAATAACTTAAACCAAAATGCAATTATATGGTGGGATTATTATATTAGCACCTCCATGTTAGTCGTAACCCAAAAGCCTCCACCAATTAGCATATTCACAATTAATTCGCCACCAAAATAATAAAATCCTCATGATGTTCGATCGGCGACCATTCCATCTCAATTTTCACCATTTGACTTCAATCCGTAAATCAGGAGCAAAGATTACCTTCTTATAATCCTTAGTTGTGTCGTATCAAGTGGTAGTCCTGCTATCAGGACCAAATTGACCTAACTTGATCACCATCACTACCTTCTTATAATCACCATCACACGAATTCATCCTCATGATTCATGGTTTAGTCCTGCTATCATTCTATCTCAAACTTTAAACCAAATTGCCCTAACTTGAACCGAAAGAATTTTTGACAACACCCATGTCGTCACGGCACCACAGAATTACCCGAAAAACTTAATGGGGAACGTTGAGGATGGGGGTTAATTAGAGAGGGAGTGGGTAACGGGTGGGGAACTATTCCTCCTCCTCTCTCTCTTTTTTTTTTAAACATATTTATCCTTACTTAGGAAAATAGAAATTAATTAGAATAACTATGCTCCCAATTTGAACAGGCTAAATTACAGGTTGAACCTTAACAAAAAATCAGGATGTTACAGTAAGTTTGAGCTAATGTTCGAATATAGGGCTGCAACATGGACAGAACTAGCCATAGCTCCTCCTCTAAACCACTGATAAATCTCGAAATGAAAAACTCCTCATCCAATGTAGGACTAAATCGAGACATTAGTGATTTCAATTCCTAAAATTGTTCTTGATACTCTGATAGCGACCCTTCCTGCCTAAACTCGTTTAACTCGTTGACGGAAGAGGGAAACTCCAAAAGCTGAGTAGATGGAGAATTATCATCCGGTAGGCTGTGAATTCCAGTTGCGACAGGGAGATGGTTGGAAGACTAACGAGCTGGAATGACGGCAGAAGAAACTACCTCAGGCAAAAGAGTCTTCGTCATAGAAACCTTATGCTCGTGATTTCGTCGAACAGTTGGCGGGTGGCACTCTTGAATTGTTGGTGGGTTGCCACAGACTGGACCTTCCTCGCTATCCACCACCCCCGCTGACCTTTGTTGCCGCACTTCATTCAATTGTTGGAGTATTTTCTCAAATCGGCCTTCCATAACGTCAAGTTCATAGCTTTGAATATCCTATCGTTCAATTCCAGCATCATTGTTGCCAAGAAGAGGCTCTGATACCAATTTGTAATGTCCCGATCTTGTTTTGGATCACTTCTTGACTATTGAAAGTAGTAAAAGATGAATTGATGGAAGCGTTAGAGATTAGGAGGAAGATTTGCAGAAGGAGTGATTGAGAAAGGAGAAGAGAAGAAGGGAAGAGGAAGAAGGAAGAAGGAAGGAGATAGATCAAAGGAGAAGAAGTTGGGGAAATTTTATTCTGTTATTCGATGATCCAGTTTACACAGCTTATTCCTTCTTTTATATGACCACCTAATTACAATCTGAACCCCCAATTAAAATCCTATTACATCTAAACCACATGCATTACATGTGGCCAACCTCCTACACTCTCAACCAGCCTCCGCTGACGTTCCTTCTCCCCGTTGTGTGTGTCGTCTATTAACAGGCTCCGCCACAGCCCGCAAGAAACAAACGCCTCGTCTATCCTTCTTCCCACCGTCCTACATTTGTCCCTTCTCCCCCATATACGTCCCCTTTTTGTCTCCCGTTGCGACGACAATGTGTGAAAGGAAATTACAAAATGAAATTCCAACCTAATGCTCTTTCTTCTTTAGACGATATATAATATATCCAATTCAAAAAATATTGTTGGCTTTTTTTAATTTTCGCATTCAATTAAAAATGGCGGCGGTGGATGGCATGAATCAGCCGGCGGCCGTTAATCTCAATGTCAGATGGATTGTATTAGAATAAAATATATATTATGATATTATCAATAAAATAAGAGAAGGGTGAAGTGATAATCTTAATTATAATAAATTTAGGGCAACAATTAACTACCCTCAAATTTAATGGACATGCTTGGAGTTCGTTCGGTAGCCAAGATTGATTGAATTCAACAATAGCCCATAAAGTAAACAAATACTAATAGGGCCCAATTGACCAAATCAATGTTTTCCGTCTACACTCACTGCCTCCAGTCTACAGCCTAGTGTCTTCTCTTTGGTTTGGGATAGGTCAGTAACCAATCAGTAAATGCCAAGGTTCTAAAAGGCGCTAGGCGTAAGGCAGGCGCTCGGCTCCTGACTTGCGCCTTGCCTGATTAGGCGTAGCCTAGGCGCGCCTAGGCGTTCAGAGCATAAATGGAAAAAGTTCTCAAATATTTACTGTTTTCTGGAATAATTCATATAATCCAAGTGCATATAAAATTAGTAATGCCTAGTTCTTAACAGTAAACACTTAACATAACAAATAACAAGCAAATAGTGACCACTTCCTAGAATCACAAGTTCATAAAATGTCGAAATACTAAACCATAGTCAATAAGTTCATAAGATAATGTTCATTCTTCATCATCCAAGTAGGTCCGTCCAGCCACCACTACATCTTCATCATCCTCCAAAGCAATCTCCTCACCATCCTCCTCCTCTTCCTCCTCTTCACACTCTAATTCTTCATCATGGAGCTCTCTCACTCGTGCACTCCTACGAAGCTCACTCTGTTTACCCGTCATTGCATCTGTAACAGTACTCGAGGGTGCACAATGTAATTCCTCATCCTCATCTACGAATACATACATAGCATGGTCATCCCCTAACCGTGTTTCTGATTTTCTAGGGCAAGAGGCAATTTTATGATTTTCTAGGACAAAACGAAGAGTATTGGGTTTAACCGCCTAAGCTCGCCCAGGAATGCCCAGGCACGCCTTCTCTCCACTAGGCGCAAACTAAGCGCTACCAGCGCCTTTTACAACGCCTATGGCCAAGTCAAGGCGATCCTCCACTGCCTAGCGCCTAATTGAGCCTAGGCGTGCGCCTAGGCGCGCCTTCTTGAACCCTGGTAAATGCACGCACACCGTAGATCTAGGGGGATCCATCATGTGGCTGGGCTGAATGCGGGGTCCAGAAGGGCATTTTTGTCCATTTATAAATTTTAATTTTTATTATATATCAATTTTAATGGTTGCCTTTTCAAAAAAAGAGATCACTTTTAATGATTGTCTTTTCAAAGGAGGAGAGAGAATCATTTATCTGCAACTTTCTTTTCTCTTTCTCCCTTCCTTCTCTCTTCCCTTTTCTCTCTCAATCTCCTTTTCAGATCCTTTCTCTTTCTCTCTTCTTTTTTCTCTCCAATCTCTTTCTCCATATCTAGATCTGCTTTCTTCTCTTCTTTTTCGTTTTTTTTTCAGCAATCGGAGAAGAAAAATTGCAGCCACCCTCTTTTATAGCGTTTTTTCTCTTTATCAACTAGCTGGCCTCAATTTCGATCTTTCTCCCTTTTTTGGCGTTTTGTGTTCTTGATTGCGGAGGAAATGAGACGAGATAGAAGATGATTTTTTTTTTCCTCTCCCTCCTTCTGTTTTTTTCTTTTAGGTAATATATATTGATATTAACATACTATACCATACGGTATTGTGTAGTAACGAAATATATATTGATATTACCACACTATACCATATGATATTGTGTGGTAACGAAACATATATTGATATTACCGCACTATACCATATGGTATTGTGTGGTAACGAAATATATATTGATATTACCGCACTATGCCAAATGGTATTGTGTGATATTACCACACTATACCATATGGTATTGTGTGGTAACGAAATATATATTGATATTACCAAACTATACCATATGGTATTGGGTGGTAACGAAATATATATTGATATTACCACATTATACCATATGGTATTGGGTGGTAACGAAATATATATTGATATTACCACACTATAGCATATGCTATTGGGTAGTAACGAAATATATATTGATGTGGCAAAAAAATTTCATACCATATGGTATGCTCTTATTTAATACCAGTCAATACCATATAGTATAGACTGGTAATAACTGACAAATTTTTTTTTTGTCTAAAAAATATCAAAGTGGATATCATTTTGAAGAGCACAATTAATCTGATCTAACTGTGCAAAAAAAATTGAATTCCGACTTAAAACGAGTGAGAAATCGTCCGTTAAAGATTAAAAGAATGAAAATTAAAGGTTTTTCGAGGAGAGAGAAGGAGACGATGTTATGGTCCGGTCAAAGGTCAGCGTCAGCAATAAATAGGGGTAAGTTCAATTTTACCTTACTACCCTTTCGCATTTTATTTAAATAAAAAGGGCACTGACACGTGGGGACAGAAGAAGGGGTTACTGATGGGTTACTAACTATTGACACCTAAAATTATTTTGGCCTGAATTAAATGTCGCATTAATTAGTCTGGGCATTGAATTCGATACTGTGGATAAAAAACTGTGTCATTTGGAGTTGAGCGGCATCGCAGAGAGTTAAAACGATACCGCGAAATAAAAAACGGTACCGCAAGGGAGCTCAGCGACACCGCGGCACTGGAAACGACACTGTTTACCAGAAAATAAGATGTGGGTCGCGCGTTTAGTAGTGATGTTGGAAAAGGAGTTTTTTAATTAATTATTATTTTTATTCCTTGTCGGAAGGGGAGAAGCGATACCGCATGGAGACCAGCGGCATCGCGGAGAATTGAAATGGTACCACGGATATAAAAACGATACCGCGAGAGGCCTTGATAAGCGGTGCCGATTAATTAAAAACCACATCGGATAAGTGATTGGCCCAAAAATCCGGCCAGCCCAAACGTGCAAAATCGCGGCAATTTAATATGTTGGTATTTCCTTTTATTATGTTAGGCGGTGTGGTTTAATTCAAAACAGTACCGCGGGTAGGCCCAACGGTGCCACTGTACTAGCAAACGATAGTGTTGACAATAACAATGTCGCGGAGAAAAAAAAAACGGAGCTGATTGGGGAAGGAAACGACACCGCAAGCCTGGAAGCAGAGTCGTTTAATATTAAAACGATGTCGCGGATAGAATCAAGCGGTGTTGTTTAGCTAAAACGACACAGCCGCGATATTACTAAGCGATGCCTTTCAGTTAGAAACCAAACCACAACGGGTTGGATTATGGCGAGACCCGGCAAGCCCAACGGCGCTGCAAGACAAGAAAAACGATACCGTTTGGTAGAGAACAATGTCGCGGAATGGAAAACGACATTGTTTGATGGGATCGGGACAGAGCAGTTCAAGATCGGCATAGATTAGTGAAAAGCGATATCGCGGAAAAGTAAAACAACACCGCGGTAGTGGGTAAGAGTTCGGCCAAAGGCGGAACGCCAAGCCCAACGACAGCGCAAGACTAGAAAACTACGTTGTATGATGGGCTAACGATGTTGTTGGTCAAAGGGGCCGAGGCAATTGAGTTGTGATTATAAAACGACATTGAGTAGTGAAAAGCGATGCATCGGTATTGATGAAAACGACGTTATGAATGAATGAGGTTTATTCGCTCAGTTTATGGAGGTGAAATGACACCGTTGCGTGGACAAGGTGGACAAGGTTGTAGGATTTGGCTCAACGTCGTTTTGCCAAGTTTCTACGTAGCGGAACGGTTTTGGGGGCACGTGATTATCACGCAACAAGGAGGAGGTTACCTGCACGGTTGACAGGAATGAAGATGTGGGAGACAAAGGCGCGAAGGCAGTTACTACTACTGCGGGGAGAAAAGCGAAGTATAAAGATTGGGAAGAGAGAGAAGATCCGGACGGCAAAATCAAATCTCAAACTGCACCGTCGCAGACTTACCTTTTCTCTCTAGTTTCGTAGAACCGCTCTGTTAGAGAACTCCTTTGCAGAGTAGTAGTCGTAGCTTGTAGTCGTAGTCGTGGAGCTCTCTAGAGGAACCTCCATAGGAGTAGAGGTAACGTAAATTAGAACACTCATGGTTCGATTGTCTGGTTATTCGCCGAACACCCTCGTTCGAACGTAGTTTGGAGAGGTGGTGAATCGAATAACGATGGTTTGATTAGAAGTCAAAGGTTCATCGATAAAATCAATATCGCCGACGCCGGCGGTGGATACTTGACGGTCGTCTTGGTTTCTGTGCGATCGATCAAATCAACGGCGCCGACATTCGATGGCGGATATTTGACGGTTGTGATTGACTTTGTGTTTTGAGTTTACTTGAAAACAGTGCGCATTGAACGCGCGAGTTTTGCCAACGAAACAAATTGGCACACCCGGTGGGACCCGTGTGTTTGAATGGCTCCGCGACGAAGGAATCAGGAAGGGGGTGTTCCGCCCGGATTCGTGGAGGAACATGTGGCCAACATTGAAGGAGGCCAAGTAATCGGTGCTGAAGACATCGGCGTGTCTGAGGATCCGTCGTCCACAGTTGGGCCGACGGAGGATTTGTCAACCCGCCATTTCATGGAGGAGAATCGTCGCATGTTTGCTAGCCTCAACAATGAGTTGGCACGCTTCAAAGGCGAGGTAAATCAGCGTTTTGACGCTTTAACCACACGACATGACTCTCTTGAGTCTCGTGTTGATAGGCATTTAGGCCAACTCTTTGAAGTAGTGACTAAAAACATACATGAGTTTGATGTTTTTGTGGATAAAAATCTACGTGATATGAATGAAATTAGGGAGCTTTTGGGTAGACCAGTAATGCAACCTAGGGATTTACCGCTAAACGGTGAAAACAATTTAAATAGCAAAACTGGTTTTCCAAACAACAGTGCTCGAATTAGTCCGCCAAGACAAGGAGTTCCGCGGACACTGGTGATGAACCCACCAACTCCGCGAGTTAATCTTGGTGAGACTAGCATTGTCGCTAACACTCGGGTTGAACCACCGCCGTTTTCACGGTGGGTGTCCATAAAATATCCCGGAGGTCAGACCGTACGTGGCTCTGATGAGCGGTGCTGGTGGTGGAGTAACGATCAACAATGATCATGTTCCGCCACATGACTACCCGCAAAACGTGCCTCCTCCTCCAAACGGGCTTGGCATGGATCCTGGTGGATTCGTACCACAAGGGGGGGGGGGGGGGCAAGACATTAATGTGATTCGAGATAAGGTAGCATAGATGCTGGCGGACCAGTTTGGTGTAGGGATTAGACCAGTGATGCCGCCGGTATACCGAAAACCATATCCGGATTGGGTTAATAGTCACTACCCCTTTTCCACGTGGTTTTCACGTGCCTGATTTCATCACCTTCAGCGGAACTGGGGATCAGTCCACCGTCGAACACGTTGGACGATTCACGGTTCAGTGTGGTGATGTAAGTGATTTCTTGAAGTTGCGTTTGTTTGGCAACTCGTTGACAGGTCCCGCATTCGCGTGGTATGTAAATTTGCCATCGAACTCGGTTCAAACTTGGCAACAAATGTAACAAATGTTCCATGCCCAGTTCTACCGTTCTGAGCCAGAAGTAACTATGGCAGATTTGGCACGAATGCGCCAGCAGCCAGGGGAAACGGTAGAACACTTTTTAACTAACTTTAAGAATGCAAGAAATCGCTGTTTTGTGAACTTGACAGAACGCGAGTTTGTTAAACTTGCCCAGGGTGGATTGAATTTTGAACTTCGTAAAAAGTTTCAAGATATGGAGATTTCTTATCGGTTTCAATTGATGTCATGCGCCGTTAGATACGAATCTCTTCTCAACGAAGAAGAACATAAGAGAAGTGGCTCTCGTGGACAATATTTCCCTAAGTTTGAGAACTATGGTGTGAATAATGTCGACAGTGATGT